CAGGAAGTTAAGTTTCTCTTAATTCGTTAAGCTATGTCCTTGGTCGTCGCATGAGCCTATAAAAGAAAATTTTTCCTAGACCAATTAAATATATTTGCTATGTTGTCTAGACTGTATAAAAATCTATGTATATCTATTTAGTAGTGATCCGCAGTGTGTATAGAATTTGTATATAATTGAATCGGGTATTAACATTAGACAATATACTATGTGAGCTCATAAAAAGTGGTGTATTGTTAATGTGGGTCCCAAACTATGTGAATTGTTGTAGCTAATAAAATTGGGTCCTTAAGATTAATAAAATCTGAGATTTATTTCTACAAACATGGTGCTGAATCGTTAATATGTAAATATTATATTGAGATAATAAATTTTTTGGTGTTTCAGGCTTACTACGGGCCTCGGGGGCCTTAAGCTTACCTGGGCCCTAGTGCCGGTCCGGCCCATGGAATTGGGTCGTGACAGAATTACATCAGGGGTGAGCAAACTTTGGAAGAAACTAAAAACCTAACAGAACTAAATTATTTTCAGGTTTTGGTTCGGTTATTTAGTTTTCGCGCTTCAGTTTAAAATTTTTCATAATTTTGGTTTTCGATCTTTGAATCGATTATTTTAAAATATTTATTTTACGAGTAAAATTGACCTGTTTGATCGAATTAAACCAATCAATTTGGTTCGGTTTTTAAATTTAATTCGATTTGATCTGATTTCAAATAAAATGTATTTTTAATTTTCGAGTCTTGCGATTTGGTTCAGTTGGTTTGCACACCCCTAAATCACATAGTATAAAAAATCTTATTAGGACAAAGGAAATTTAGCACTTTGCTTTCTTTTCTGATATGTTCTTTTTAATAGGATTTGAGGGGCACCATACTACTCAAACACAATATGTTAGCTTAGGCTTAGCTGTAAACCAATCTAATATAGGAATTTTAATCAATGCCTTTAATTTTTTTGAGGCTCCTACAAGATTAGTGGGTAATGAAGAAAATGTTCAAAAGACAGCCGGATGGTAAGAAAATTCAACTTAAGCGTGTGCAACAATTCTATTTAAATATATAAAATTTCAATTGCAATATCATGAAATTTATCCCTCTATTTAGGCAAAAAAATATTCTCCCACTATCTAATGCATTATACATTTCAACTTTTAAAATTATATTTATTAACAACTTATAAAAATAATTTAATTTGTAAAATTATATCAATTAAATACTTATTGAATAGTCGAAATATGTGAAAAAAAAATATTATTTTAAAAGTTATAATAACCTCATGCCAAACCAACTTTGCAAATAAAAACTAAAAACACCAAAAAATTATTATTACTATTACAAAGAGATGTATAATAGGAAATTTGTTTTGAATGATGTTCAATAGTTTAAGAATATTTTCATATTTATTTCAAATTTCCCAATATCAAATTAAGAATAATGTTAAAAGGCATCTACTTGTGCCATCTCTATATTGATCCTTCTTTCATATTTATTTAATTCTACTAAAATTACTTATCTCTTGAAATCCAAATATGGAAAAAATCATTTTGCCACCTAAAGTTTGACATTTTAATCGATTAAGTCCTCTTGCTTTAATTTGAATCAATTAAAAATCTAAGCTCATATTTTTAGTTAATTGTATTTCCGACTAGATGGTTTTAAAAAAGAATCATTAGTTAAGATCCTTTAACCAAAAAAAAAAAAAAAAAAAATAAACTCTAATTGCAACGTGTTAGGTTAAAAGAATAAGATAACACAAAGGTTAATTTGCCAACTCTAATCAATGATTTAATTGATTTATACAAAAATTTAGATATTTTTAAATGATCTAAAAAAAAATGAGACCAACATTTAGGGGACTTAAAATAAATTTTTTTCCAACTCCCAAATACATTCTTCTAGTCCATAGGCCCATAATTTTTTGGAAAAGGCAAGTCACCTAAATACACAACATTAAAAAAAAAAAAAAAAAAAAGTAAACTCTAATTGCAAGTGTTAGGTTAAAGAATAAGATAACAACAAAGGGTTAATTTGCCAACTCTAATCAATGATTTAATTGATTTATACAAATTTAGATATTTAAATGATCTAAAAAAAAATGAGACCAACATTTAGGGACTAAAATAAATTTTTTCCAACTCCAAATACTATTCTCTAGTCCATAGCCTCATAATTTTGAAAGCAAGTTCACTAAATACAACATGATGCAATTGAAAGCTAAATAAATACACATATAGTTTTTAATTAAGTTAATTAATTTTACTATTATGGTAGTAGGAGAAAGGATAACAACAACCCAACAAGAACTTAGCAATCTCACCCATTAACAAAAAGAATTCAAATACTCAAATGGTTGACAATTTTGGAGCCATCATTTGACTTTGACTTCCTCATGATTAGTTCTTGTTTGAGCGTGACAACCCTACGAGTGATTGGATAGTTTCTCATAGGATTTATTGAATCTTGATGGGTGATGAGACGTGTTTTCTTGGATGCCTCTTGATCTTTGCTCAAGTGGGTCCCTTTTAGATAAAAAAATGACAAATCCATACACATCTCTGTGTGTATTGCATATATAGGATTCCCTTTCAAAGGTTGTGGTTGTGGAGAAGCTGCCCAACGACTCTTGATGGAAGAACATCATTTTCTTTTGACTAGTTTCCATCTAACACAAAGGGTTTATAACATACATACATAATCCATAATGTCTTTTTCTAATGGCGTTTTGTGTGTGTTTGTGTATAATTCCAAGCACACAAGTTACAAATAATGTTTTTGTTGCATCCATTGATTGAGTACCTTCTGAAATTATCCATGTCACATTGATATTGTGGATAGTGATCTGCACTGGCAGTGCTACAATTTTAGCATACTAATACAATTATAATTTTTATATACAAGTTAAAATAAATTAAAGGCAGTCCAATCCATAAAAAGCATAATAACAATTATAAAATACTTATATTATAAGAAATAAAAATTGAACGCATGACTTGTTGATCTATAGTAATTATTTATATACATATTATCACATGACATATTATTAAAAATTAGGATGTATTACTTTGGATATCCAATTCACCTCTACTTGTTTAAAGTGGATTTTTAGATATTAAATAAATAAGTGCGGAGCCGATAAATATATTAAAATTATCATTGAATTTGAATATTTATATTTGTATTTTAAAAGTATATATTTTTTTTTTTGAAGAATAAAATGAATTTGAAGATGTATAATTACAAATGACAAGTCCGTGCTTTCATAATTTATATTTAATGAAGACTAATGTTTTAAAGGTATAGAAAATATGAAAACATAAAAAAAGATTTGAAGAGAATATAAGATTAAAGAAAGATAGATCTTAAACGAATGATTAAGAAATAAATGCCTGAATAATAATAAAAAAGAAATTGAGATTTCCGAGAGGTAATAAAAAATAAAATATAATTTCCACGTCGTCATTTGACTAGGACTAGAACTAATCTAATCTATTTTTATTCGTTTATCACTGTCATTAGCCGTCATCTTTACCTAGCTATTTTTATTATTATATAAAAAAAAAACTAATAATTTTAAGAAAGGTCGAAGTCTAATAGCAATGTACACCCTCTAACAGTGGCGGGCCCCAGCCGGTAAGTCTGATGAAAAATACCTAATTTTCCTATATATGGTATAAAGTTTAGCTATTTCACGCGGTTGCTATTGATTTATATTAAATAATGTAAAAAAAATTTATAAAAAAAATATTAAATAAAAACATTTCTCTTCGTTTCAATATATATATATATATTATTCTATTCATTAATAAATGCAATTAAGGCGTTTATGATCTTTTCTTAATTATAAAAAATAGGATTAGCAATGTGCTTTAAATTTTCTTTAAGAGTTTAACTCTGTAAAGTTAAAAAAAAGTTGAATGAGTGAATATATATTTACTTTGTAATTTTTTTTTTAAAATTTGGTTCCCTTTTTGCTTCAAGAGAAATTAGGTTAAAGCAACTTCCCAAAAGTTATACAAATTATATGAAGTTTCCATGAAATTTCTAAGCATGCATAACTTTAAGACTTGATTAAAAAAAAAAGATTAAAGACATAAAAGAAAAAAAAAAACTATATATATACATAAAGAAAGTCTTCCCTATACTTTTCAATAGTCTTAGTTAACAAATTTCCAAGAACCAATTAATTCCCATCATAATAATTAATAAAACAAAATAATTTTTTTTTGTTGATTTTATTTCCTCATGGTCGGCAATAAAATAAAATTTCTCCAATTTTCTATTTCCAAAGGAGACAAATGGTGTTGTAATGTTGACTATTGTGTCTTCTTGTATTAATATATGCAACTAAAAACCTCCATATCTTTGCATGGAAGAAACTTAGTGGTAGTTAGAGGAACCAACTAATTATTTTTTTTAATATTAATTTGTTTCCATAATTCTTTTATTGAGATATATTAAATTTTTAATAGAAGTTTGTTTCACTTAATTTTCATTTTATCATTCATTAATGTCAAAGATTAGCAATAATCTTTGAAAAGATTATGTTGGAATTAAGATTTTTGTGTGTTTAACAACTTTGACGAAAATAGTGTTAAAAGAAAAATAGAAGAATAAAAATACTCGAAAAAAATAAAAAAGATAATAATTTTATAAAAATTTAGATTATTTATTTATAATATCTGGAGTTATAAATTTTTTATAATATTTAAACTGTGACATTGCCGACTGAGCCACAGTCAATAATATTTTATAAACGTGTTTTTATATAATCGTGTTTTCGTATTCAAATTTGTACTACCAAGAACAAATAAGGAAAAACCCAACAACTCGAGAAACATCTTCAAATAAAAAATAAAACAAAATAAAATAAAATATATATTAGCATAGAAAATCATAAAACCTTTGTAGAGTCAAATCCTTAGCCAATATAACATGAACCGGTCAACATCGGCGGCCCAGCGGCCCCTGATTTGTTCGCAAGCCTTTCCTTTTGTTCCTTACAGTATTCAAAGAGATACCAAAACTGTTCAAAGTACAAACCAAGCCATTGGTAGACCAGACTCCATTGGATTAATATATCCTTCATCACCATATATATCAAATTTCTTTTTTTTTTTTACTTGGTTATAAAGTTGAACGAAAAAATGTTAAAAAAATCGAAAACAGCAAAAGAGCAAGCATTTCTAGAAATTTGCTTTCGTCTACCTGCAGGCCTTGTACATCCACGACATTCAAGTGCTTCTAAATTTAGAATATAAATATTTTTTCTTTTAGATGCCTTTATTATTCTCGATGGAATTGTAACAGAGATTCTCTATTCATAAACAACAACAGCCTAAAAGAGAAAGAGAATAAATAAAAGGAGAAGAAGAAGAAGAAGAAGAAAAAGAAAGGTAGTTTCAAGATTAATGATGCCAGAAGAAGAAACTGATTTGTGGAGAGCTGTATTATTCATATTCTTAATCTTGATATCAGGTACTAATCTAGTTTTTTTCTTTAAATAATAAAACACTTAGTTTTTTAAAGTTTCTGCCTTTCTGGGTTAATTTTATTTATTTATAATGGTAATGCTGTTTGCAATTCCCAAGAATATAGATTCTGTTTGTTTTTAAGGAGAATCCCAAATTCCCAGTACGAAAATTTTAATAACTGGAAGAATCTTGATTTCTGTTAATTATTTATTGCAGGTGCAGTGGTTGCTGCAGATTCTCTTGAAACAGACAGAGAAGCACTGCTAAATTTCAAGTCATTTCTTTTAGAGAAGAACACTGTAAATAGAGGGCAATATTATCAATGGGGACAGTTTAGCACAAATCCATGTAACTGGTCTGGAATCATTTGCACAGCTGATGGTTTAAGAGTTAGTGGCATCAACCTTACTGATAACAGCATTTCTGGGGAGTTATATAACAACTTCTCTTCTCTAACAGCTCTTTCTTTCCTTGATCTTTCTCGAAACTCTATCGGTGGCTCATTTCCTGATGACTTGAACAACTGTCAAAATTTATCATATCTTAATCTTTCACATAACATTCTTCAAGGAGAACTCAAGTTGACTGGCTTGAGAAATTTGCAGATTCTTGATTTGTCTTTGAATAGGATTTTTGGGAATATCCAGTTTAGCTTTCCTGCAATTTGTAACAAGTTAGTCGTGGCGAATATTTCACAAAATAATTTTACCGGTACAATTGATACTTGTTTTGATGAGTGCTTGAAATTGCAGTATCTTGATTTGAGTTCAAATTTTTTTAATGGAGGAATATGGAATGGATTTTCAAGGCTTAAGGAGTTTTCCGTAGCTCAAAATTTTCTTACTGGACAAATTTTGGGGTCAAGTTTTGGTGAGACTTGCAGTCTAGAAGTTTTGGACTTATCAGAAAACAATTTCACTGGTGGGTTGGCAACAGAGATAAAGAATTGTAGGAATTTGATAATTTTGAATGTGTGGGGAAATAAATTTACTGGTAAAATACCATCTGAAATAGGCTCAATTTCGAGTCTTGAAGCTTTGTATTTGGGAAACAATAGTTTCTCTCCAGTGATTCCTAAGTCTCTTTTGAACTTAAGCCGTTTAGCCTTTCTGGATTTTAGCAGAAACAGTTTTGGAGGTGATGTGCAAGAAATTTTTGGAAGTTTTAAACAAGTGAAGTTTCTGGTATTGCATGGAAATTCATATACTGGTGGATTATATTCTTCAGGTATTCTCAAGTTACCTAGTGTTGTTAGATTAGACTTGAGTTATAACAATTTCTCAGGTCCATTACCTGTTGAAATTTCGGAAATGCCAAGCTTAAAGTACTTGATTCTTGCTTATAATCAATTTAATGGCAGCATCCCTAAAGAATATGGAAATTTGACAAGTCTTCAAGCTCTTGATCTTTCCTTCAATAGCCTAAGTGGGTCTATACCAAGTTCACTCGGAAACTTGAATTCTCTCTTGTGGTTAATGCTTGCTAATAATAGTCTAACAGGTGAAATTCCACGAGAATTGGGAAACTGCAGTAGCTTATTATGGGTAAACCTTGCTAACAACGAGCTTTCAGGGAAAATACCACCTGAGCTGGTCAACATAGGCAGAGATCCCACACCAACATTCAAGTCAAATCAGCAGAATGAGCGAATAACTGCAGGGTCTGGTGAATGTTTGGCAATGAAGAGGTGGATACCTGCAGATTACCCTCCATTTAGTTTTGTATATATACTTCTTACTCGGAAAAATTGCAGAAGCCTATGGGATAGGATACTTAAAGGTAGTGGCCTTTTTTCTGTATGTGCTGCAGGCTCTACTATTCGAACACTCAAAATCTCTGGCTATCTTCAACTCAGCGGAAACAAACTTTCCGGTGAGATTCCTCAAGAGATTGGTAAGATGCAGAGTTTCAGCATGTTACATTTTGGTTCTAATGAGATTTATGGGAAGCTGCCTCCTCAGGTTGGAGAGTTACCCCTTGTAGTACTAAATGTAAGCAAGAATGGGTTTTCAGGTGAAATTCCAACTCAAATTGGAAACATCAAATGCTTACAGAATCTTGATTTGTCCCATAACAATTTTTCTGGCACTTTTCCTGTAACCTTGAACAATTTGAGTGACTTAAGCAAGTTCAATGTCTCATACAATCCTTTGATTTCTGGTGTCATCCCATCAACCGGACAATTAGCTACATTTGAGAAAGATTCTTATTTTGGTGATCCATTCTTGATTCTTCCAAAATTCATCAACAATTCCACAGATGATGTTTCTCCTCCTAAAGTTAGAAAGGTTGACAGTACTACAAGGCGGGCTGTCCTTTTTGTGCTTTTAACGCTGACACTAGCTCTCTTAATATGTGGAGTTTTATCAGTTATAGTTTGGATGTACGGCAAAAATAAATCAAACTCACCAGCCTATCTCTTGCAAGAAACTAAATACCGACATGACATGGCATCGAGTTCAGGCAGCTCATCTCCATGGTTGTCCGATACAGTTAAGGTAATTCGCTTAGACAAAACAGCATTCACTCATGCTGATATTTTGAAGGCAACTGGAAACTTTTCAGAAAGCAGAATCATAGGCAAAGGAGGATTTGGCACAGTGTATAGAGGAGTATTGCCTGATGGAAGACAAGTAGCAGTTAAGAAGCTGCAAAGGGAAGGAATTGAAGGCGAAAGAGAATTTCGAGCAGAAATGGAAGTCTTAAGTGGAAATAATGGCTTTGGCTGGCCTCACCCAAATCTTGTAACACTATACGGTTGGTGCCTTGATGGTTCAGAGAAAATATTGGTTTATGAGTACATGGAATGTGGAAGCTTAGAAGACCTTGTTTCAGATAGAATAAGACTAACATGGAGAAGGAGAATTGACATAGCCATTGATGTTGCGCGAGCATTAGTCTTTCTACACCATGAGTGCTATCCTGCTATTGTCCACCGCGATGTCAAGGCTAGCAATGTGCTTTTACACAAAGATGGGAAAGCAAGAGTTACAGATTTTGGATTGGCAAGATTTGTTGATGTTGGAGATAGTCATGTCAGCACAATTATAGCTGGCACTATTGGGTATGTTGCACCAGAATATGGTCAAACCTGGAAAGCTACTACTAAAGGCGATGTGTATAGCTTTGGAGTTTTGGCAATGGAACTTGCCACAGGAAGACGAGCTGTGGATGGTGGGGAAGAAAGTTTAGTGGAATGGGCTAAAAGGGTAATTGGAAATTCTCCAAATTCACAAATTATACCAGTTGTTCTACTAGGCTCTGGTTTAGCACAAGGAGCAGTAGAGATGTATGAGCTATTGAGAATTGGAATAAGGTGCACTGCAGAATCTCCACAGGCAAGACCAAACATGAAGGAGGTTTTAGCTATGCTAATAAAGATTTCAGGCACAAGACAGGATTTTGTGTATAGCTTATCTTCTTCATTTAATTCAAGTTCTATATATAGGGTGTTGAATTAGACATACATAAACATGTAAATTAGACAGTGTTCTTTTTTTTTTTTTTTTTTTTTTAGATCTAGAATAAGACAACATGGAGGAAGGAGAAGTGCGGCTTAGGCACATTTGATGTTGCGCTCGAGAGGCATTGAGGCTCTCTACAATGAGTTGCTATCCTCGCTATTGTCCCCCGCGAATGTCAGTACAGCTTAGTCCAATAGATGCTAGGTTTACACAATAGATGGGAAAGCAGATGAAGTTTACAGATTATTCGAGCATTTGGTACCAAGATTTGATTTTAGATCTTGTTCGGGAATAGTCATGTCAGCCACAGATTGTTATAAGCTGGCACTATTGGTAGTATTTGCAGCTCATGAATATGTTCAACCTGGGAAAGCTACTTACTAAAGGCGATGTGTGTACTAGCTTTTTGGAGGTGGTTTTGGCCAATGGCGAACTTGCCAACTTAGAAAAGACTGATGCTGTGGATGGTGGGGAAGAATTTAGTGGAATGGGCTAAAAGGGTAATTTGGAAGAGATATTCTCCAAATTCACAAATAATTATTTAATACCAGTGTTGTTCTGAGCTAGGCTTACCTGGTCTTAGCGACATAAGGGAGCTCATATAGCAGTAGAAGTTAATTGTCATGTGAGAGAGAGTAGCTAGATTGACGAGTTTGGAATAAGGATCTTGGGTCACCTGCAGTAATTCCTCCACAAGAGCTACAGGACCTAAAACATGGAATAGGAGGTTAGTTTGCTTATGGCCATAGATAAAAGATTTCAGGCACAAGAACAGGCATTTTGTTGTATTAGCTTTATCTTCTTTCGACATTTTAACATTCAAGTTTCTATATATAGGGTGCTTGAATAGACATACATAAACATGTAAATTACGACAAGTGTTTTTCTTTTTTTTTTTTTTTTCTTTTTAATCTGGTATTTTTTTCTTCTTGGTACACAGAGCATTTATTCATTACAAGAATGTGACGGACACTGTTAATTTCTTTTTTTTTTTTTTTTTTTTTTTTTAATCTGATTATTCTTCTTGTACACAAGCATTTTTCATTACAAGAATTGAAACTGTTAATTTCTTAGATTCTTTATTGGTCCTTCGTATGAATTTCAGTCTCAATTTCGTTTTGAAAAAGAAGCCTTTTTGACTTTTAGAAAATGAATTTTTACTGCGACAGGTAACGAATTTTTACTCATATCCCTTTCCAACTCATTAATTGATATTCTAATCCGCTTGAAATGGTTTGTATGGATTGGGTACCTGGACAAACCCGCACCGCTTCCATCCTTCCGTCTCCAACATGAGTTTCTTTAATTGACTAGCAGAAAAATTAACAAAGTCTTCCAGAAAAATTATTTAGTTGAAATGCAATAAAATAGAAGGACTATTTAATTAAATTTTGAAAATATAAATCCAATTATCTGACCAAGCTGAATAGGGAGAATAAAGCCGTTATAGAATTATTTGCTGCAGTATTATCATCACTGGATGATGTAAGAAGAACATTGTATACCTAAGACCATGGAAGATTTGAAGAAGAATTGTTCCATAACATAACAATTTAGATTAAGGCATGATTAGAGAACCCATCAATGCATATGTTCTGATATTTCGTAGCTAATAATCCGAAAATTACTCTTTCTATGTGGTGTATATATACATATACATACAAAAGAAGTACTAAAATTTTGTATGCCCTTCAACCTTTTCTGCTACATTTTCAATTGACAATATTGACCCTGTACCTGTGTTACCACTTACCAGTGCCACCACTCTGACTCCTCCCCAGCTTTTAGCGTTTATAGGCCCTTGTACAAAGGGTGTGAGTCTCTCTGTCATTTGCAATTGCAAGTTGTAGTTCCTTTCCTCCTTAACATGGGTTTCATTACTTTTCAGAAAAAAAAAAAAAAAAAAAAAAAAAAAAAAAAAAAAAACAGATAACATGGGTTTCATTTTAAAATCCCTAAAATTATTAGTCATACGTGAATAAAAAAAAAAAAAAAAAAAAAAAAAAACAGATAACATGGGTTTCATTTAAATCCCTAAAATATTAGTCATACGTGAATTCTTGATGATCATTATATTAGGCTGCTTTACATTTAGGTTTGAGAAATGATTGCTCTAATGATTTCACCCTTGATGTGGATAAGCACAATCTGCCTCTCATCCTAAGCACATTTTCATTCATCTCTTTCAATTTTATTGGGAGTTTGTGTCTATTTGCTCTGTTCCTATACCACTTTTGTTTTGGCATGTTGAAATTTCTTGATTTTGTTTTTTACTTTAGGGGTTCCAAAGTGTGTGTACTTGCGTTACCTTGTCTATATTCCAGTACTATTTACTTGGTTTTGTCTAAATTTGCTTGTTTTTCGAATTTAGATTTGTTATTGTCTTCACCATCACAAATTTACTGCAGCAATTATCTTTATTTCTAACACTACTTATTACTTACTGGTTTCCAGTTCTGCTTCTCTGTAATTCTAATTTTACAATTGGCGTTATTCTTTGTTGCTTAGATTTTCTCGGACACCAGTAAGTTTTTTAAGTTAAGATACTTGAGAGCACACAATTAATAGAAAAATGGGTGATTTGAGGGGAGTAAATATTATGCCATTGGAGCTTGCTGTTCTCAGAGAGTTGGCATATAGAAGGAAGGTGGCCATGTTGCTATCTCCATCAGATTCTAACTTTGTTAGAGAGCTTAGATCAATGAAGGGTAGAATCCTCATATAATATTGTTGTGGTGTGCCCACTCAGTGGGATCCACATTTGAAATAAAAATAAAATTTCTTCCGTAGGTGATCTGTTTTTCGGTGGTTTTTTTAGTAGGTAATCTGTTTTTCGGTGGACGCGCCTCTCCTATAAATAGGAGATGGCTCAGCTCATCTCAGCACTAAAAAACTGGTATCGGATCTGATGCCTAACAAATATCAGTAAGTCACCTTTTTGTTACTAATTCAAATTTTATTTGCTAATTAGCTTTCTGATAGGTTGAGTTCTTTCAATTGATCTATACGCCTTAAAAACTTGCTTGCACCTATAATTGCTGCACTGTCACATATGCTCATCTATGCAGTATTTCACATCAAATAGAGATGAATATTATGTTTTGTCAAAGTGCCTTGACGAAACATAATATGGGGAATCCTAGTTGGATTATGAACTTGTAAAGATTTCAACCTCTTCATTGCAATAAGCTGATGGTTTCCTGCCATTTTATTTATCAAATAGCTTTGAACAAGAGATTCTGGAGGCACATTATATATGCTGAACAAATCTCTAGCTTTCACTTGGATGCTATGGGATCTAGCATCGACCATCTGCTTTATGAATTTACCTAACCAGAAAGGTTTGGAGCTAATGCCTGGATATATCTTTGATCAAATTGAGTTTATCCACTTGGACTTTATAGCTGAGCTTGGTGATTGCAGCATTTACTGAAAGAACTCGTCATCTTTGTTAGTTAAGTAATATACATTTATTTAGGCAGCTCAGAATCATCTTTGGGTGGGAAGAAATTTTGGGCTTCATTTAGAATTATTGATGTTGAAGGTGCTTTATTTTCACATATGGTTCTTGCATGAAGGTTTTCTTCTGTTGAACTGTGTTTAGTACAATATTTCCATTCTAATTATTTTCAGTATCTTATGAACTAAATTGTCACATGTAACAGGTGCGATCTTCTAGTGCAGGTCCCAATCCAACTCTGATAGGACCACGCGTACCATCCAACCCCGAATTAGTATGATATTGTCCGCTTTGGGCCAAGCCCTCACGGATTTGTTTTTGGGCACCTCCTAAAAAGGCCTCATACTAATGGGTTGGGTTTGAACCATTATATTTTGGTTCCACTTCTCCTCTTTATCCGATGTGGGACTTGGGAGGATATCAAGAACTCGTCATCTGTAGTTAGGTTAAGTAATATATACAATCTTATTTAGGACAGCTCAGAATCATCTTTTGGGTGGGAAGAAATTTTGGGCTTCATTTTAGAATTATTGATGTGTTGAAGGTGCCTTATTTTTCACAATATGGTTCGTAGCATGAAGGTTTTCTTCTGTGTGGAACTGTTGTTTTAGTACAATATTTCCATTCTAATGTATTTTCAGTATCTTATTATGAACTTAGGACCATCGCTCACATGATGAACAGGTCTAGGCGAATCTTCTATGTGAAGCAGGTCCCAATCCAACTACCTGTGGATATAGGACATCACGCCGTACCCAATCCAACTCGACACCGTACTATTCACGAATGAATAGGATTAGAAATTCGATATTGTCCGACTTGGGCACAAGCCCTCTACGAACTGATATTGGTTTATAATATTGGCAACGAGTACCCTCCTAACTACCAGGAGACCTTGCCATACTAAGTAGGTGGAGTTGGGGTTGTGAACATTGTGCAATAAATTCTTTCAAGGGTTTGCGCACAACTTGCTTCACAATGTGATATATACTAGCTCGACTCAGATGGAAGACTCCGTGGAGAAACGAGAGAGAGAAAATATGATATATTCCAAAGCACACAAAAAAAAAAACAACCCTGCGGCCCTCCCAAAAAAACCCCAAAGGGGGGGAAACCCCAACCCCACAACAAATTCATTGCTGTGTGGACCTGTACCGCACCCCTCTCCTGGCGTGCATAATCTGCCCCCACTTTCTCT